TGCCGTGCTGGGGAGCTGCGAGGAGTTCGGGCAAGGCACCAGAAGGATCGCAAATTTGGGTGACATGGTCTAGGGTTTAAGGGTTTAGGGTATAGGGACATGGTGAGGGGATTTGGGGACAAGCCTTGGGCTTCTAGGGTTTAGGGGTAGGGCTTATAGTGTTAAGGTTTTAGGGCGTAGGGTTCATGGTTCGAACCTTAAGGGAGGGGGGTTCAAGGGGGGATCTATAACCCAAGGTTCCCAAATACTCCCCACTATTCCCTAAGGTTCCCCTAGGTACCTACCCCCCATGAACCCCCTCCCTTAAGAACCCCAGAAGCATTGCTGCAGATGTTGCAATGGTCCAGCGTGACTTCGCATCCCAGAAGCTTCTGACAAGGCCTCCACCGAGGGGCAGGGATGGCGGAAGGGAATACTGATCTCAAGAATTTGGGCAGTTCGTGAAGTCATGGCCTCTGTTTGGGTACCTTCATTACCCTAAACCCTAAACTGTCTCAACCCCAAACCCCAAGCCCAAACAAGTCCTAAATGTTTAGGGATGGGGGCTTCGGGTCTCTAAGGGTAGTTGCATGGTCCCTGAATAAGATCCCCTACCTTCTCTGAAGGGTTCTGAAGTATGAGGCCTTGGGTTTGTGTAGGGTATACAAGGGATATATACAGAGTTTGCCAAACTATGGGCCAATATTATGGGACCATGAAACTACCCCTAAACCCTAGACCCTAAACCCTAGACCCTAAACCCTAAGCCCTAAACCCTGAACCCCAAACCCCAAACCCTAAGATCAAAGCCCCGAAGCCCTCCCTCAAACAAACCCTGAAACCCTGCGCCCTGATAGCATCTCTCCCGAAACTCCGAAAGCCCCACATCCCTAAACCTTAGACCCCACGTCCCTACGCCCTGAACCCTAAACCCTACAAACCTTAAACCTTAAACCCCAAACCCCGAACCCTGAACCCCAAACCCTGAACCCTGAACCCTGAACCCTGAACCCTGAACCCGGAACCCTACGCCGGAGGGCGCTTCGCCTGCACGTGTTCGGGCGCGCGCCGGAGCGGGTTGTCGGGGAGAGGGTGGCTCATGCCTCGGACTTGGCCCTGAGGCGCGGGTCTAGGTTTAGGGTTTAGGGTTTGGGGTTTAGGGTTCAGGGTTTAGGGTTTAGGGTTCAGGGGTCAGGGTTTAGGGGTTGAGGGTTTTGGGGTTTTGGGGTTTTAGGGTTTTTGGGGTGGAAGGGCTTTAGGGTTTTGGGGCTTTAGGGTTCTAGCGCTCTGGAGTTTTTGGGCTTTGGGC